TTCCTCCCCCGTACATATTAACATTATGTACAATGTTAATAATATTTACATTTTTAGTGCTTTACTTTACATTTACAAAGTACTTCTCACGCACACTCTTGTTTGCTGCTCTCAGAAGCCCCGGGAGACAAGGGGACATAATTATGTTCATTTTACAAATAGAGCAAGCACCTAAGCTAGTCAGTGAGTTGTCCAAAGCTAAAATGGCAGGCCTGGGGCTCTTTGGCTATTACTATTATATTTTCTTGTTCTTTTTTCTTTTTACAAGGCAACTGAGCCAAGCTTGGAAGTGAGCCTGTGTCTCTTCCCTTAGCTCACGGAGAGGGAAACAGAGGCAGAAAACAGGAAAGGAATTTGTCTTAAGGGTGCAATTGGAAGAAAATCAGTTCTGATGACCCACCCCTAGCCCCCTCAGAGGCAAGGTAAAGCAAATTGAAGGTCAAAATCCAGGAGGCAGTGTTGTCAGGCACTCAGCACCCTGGGCATGGGGTGGGAAGAAGGATTAAAGTGTCTGGAATACATCTAATGGCTGTTAGATTTACACTAAGGAGACGGGGTTGGATTATGGTCCCAATCACCCTAACGACTGACCCTCCGCCATCAGAGAGATCATCCTTCCTGCTTACTGCTCATTGCTTCTGTTGTTTCTGCTGCTTCCAACCCTGCTGCTCCTGCTCGGGACCTTGACCTAACCAAGATCTTCCTTTTTATCCATTTCACAAATATTTATTGAGAGCCACTTTTTTCATCAAAGACACCCGAAGAACTGCAAGAATTTTTTCTTCTCTAGGTGACTCTAACCCAGCAACTTGGGCAAAAAGTTGAGTTTTTAGGTCAAATGAGTCTGGGAACTGCTGCATTCTGTACCACTGCTTGAGGATCCATGATGCTTGTCAACACAGAAATGGTTCTGAGAGGCCCTTATGTAAAAAGACCGTGTTGCCTTGTTTAACCCAGAGTTCTCCTTGAGGTATTAGGCTGGGCCCTGGGCTGTTCAGGGTAATGTCCACACAGATCTACCCTATCAGGAGCTCACAGATAGAGGAGACAGATGAGCAAACAAGTAACTGTGAGACAGTTTTATACATGCACTAATAGAGCATTTACAAAGTGCTGACAAAACAGAGGAAGAAGTGAGCAATTCTACTGGGAAAATGGAGGGAAAGACATGCAGATAAGACAGTATTTGAGTAGGATTTTTCTAGGTGGAGAATATGGGCAAGGGCACTTCATAGTAACAACAGCATATTTAGAGACATACAAGTATACCTTTGTGTTGGTCTTTGGGGATCGGTATTAAGTATTATTCAAGAGGGTTTTTTTTTTTTTTGCATGTAGTAAACCCAGCTGGGCTAAGCAGCAAATGGAATTCATTGCTTCACGTAACAGAAAAGGTATGGGTTCCAGGCAGACTGGATCTGGGGGCTTAAAACTATGACATCAGAACTTAGTTTTTTTTGGTTTTTTTTTTTTAGATTTTATTTTTAAGTCATCTCTACATCCAACATGAGGCTCGAACTCACAACCCCAAGATCAAGAGTCGCCTGCTTCACCGACTGAGCCCACCAGGTACTCCCAGATTCAGTCTTTATTCACCACTTCCTGACTGTTTTCCTTTGTGTTGATTTTTCACTCTCAGGCTGCCTTTCTCCATGAGATGGCAGAATGGCTGCTTACAACTTCACATCACGTCCTTACCAACAGAAAGAGAGTTTATTTTCCTCGTGGCTGTCAACAAAAGTCCTGGCACTGCCTCTTGTTGTTCGGATTTGGGTTACTTGTGCATCAATAAACCACCCTCTTGAGAAGGGGCCTGGGATATTCTGACTGCCCAGGCCTGGGGGCGCATGCTCTCACCTCTGGAGCTGCGATGCAGTGAGGTCGGCCGCTCTCAAATCTCACAGGCTGAGAACTGAGGAGAGGTGGCTTCCTGTGTGAGGGTATTTTCTGTTGGTCCCTTTAGGTGATGCACTCTCTGCCCTTTTCCTTCCTGATTTGTATCTCAGGAGGCCGACCTGCGTAGATGGCTTCAGCGGGTCCAGTCTCCTCTGGCTTCCAGTTGAATTTTTCCAATAGAAGATGTTAGGTGATCAGAGCGGGTGGAGGAAGATGAAATGAGGGTTTTACTCTACAGGCCCCTTCCCCTCTCAGGTTCCTGCAGGTTGGCTGCATACATCTACTGAGGCTTCTGTCAAGTGTCCTACAGATCTCTCCTCTAGTTTTGTTAAGGTCTTTCTTCTCTTAGCCTAGAGGTGGTCATGGCTCCCCTCCACTGGCAGCTGCAGGGTACCATACCTCTTCCATCCCTTCTTGTTTCCCTCAGCCCTGGCCACACACTTGTGAGTAACTTTTACCAAATGCGCCTCTGATTAATCTTTTCCTGGAACCCTGATGGTTACATTCACCAAAGGTAATTCAAGTGTCTACTACCAAAAGGAAGGGAAACGAATACAGAGTAGGTACTGGCAATAAGAGGGCCTTACTGGTTTGGTAGAGCTATGGCAGGAATGCAGACCAGGGATGATAGTGCCTTCAACCAGGGTCAAAGGGAAGCATGTGGTGAAAAATAGTATGATCCTGACTGTATTCTTATTTTTTTTTAAGATTTTATTTATTTATTTAAGAGAGAGAGAGAGCGAGCACACAGATGGGGGGGAGGGGCAGAGAGAGAGGGAGAAGCAGACTCCCCAGTGAGCAGGGGGCCCGATGTGAGGCTCGATCCCCGGACCCTGGGATCATGACCTGAGCTGAAGGCAGATGCTTAACCGACTGAGCCACCCAGGCGCCCCCCTGCCGACTGTATTCTAAAGGCAAAGTTAACAAAATTTGCTGATGAATCATATGTAAGTATGAGCATTCGAGAGGAGTTGAGGATGGAAGCAGTTGGAAGACATAGGTCTGGAGCCCATGGTGAGGTCCCACTGGGCGTGGTGATTTGGGAGGGAGGTGTGATGGGTAGTTGAAATCATGGGCTCAGATGAGATGAGAAGAGCAAGTGGAGTAGAGCACAGAAAGAGCAAAGGACAGAATCCAGAACAGCGTCAGGTCTTTACATGGTAGGCAGAGGGTTGCCACGTCGTATCGATCAGCTAGGTTGTGAGCAACTCGAGAACAAGAATGGAATCGTCCACATCTTTCCTCTTTCCCATTTTGTGTCCAGCAAGGTGCTGGGCACACCAAACCAATAAGTGCTTCTTATGAATGAACTTTACACAGTTTCACATTTCTAACACTCCCTTCTTCTCCTGAGGTCTGAGTTGTAGGCAGAGAAAAAATGAAAGAGAAAATGACCCCTTGTGGCTCAATTCATTGAAAGCTGTGCCAAGGTTGATAAGCATTTTGCTGTCCTGGAAAATGCAAATAGAACCTGTCAGATGATGCTATGGATCCTCAGCAGCTCAACGCCTGCCTTTCAGGAGAATTTCCAGATAGGCGATTTCATTTCAGATTTTGTGATTCTTGTTTGATTAGATTTAAAAGTCAATACTTTAAGAAGTCATTATGGAAGTAATAGAAGTAGTCAAAGATCTCTTTCTCACACTCATGCATTGCTGGTGGAAAATAGGATACAACCATTTTTGGAAATTGTTTGCCAGCTTATCAATCTAAATGTACACCTATCCTATGACCCAGAAATTCTACTCCTAGTTATACACTCAAGAGAAATGTAAGCATAGATATACACACACACTGCTCTTAATATCTTTATTCGTAATATCCTCAAACTGGAAATATTCCAAATATCTGTCAAAAGAAGAATGGAGATGGGGCGCCTGGGTGGCTCAGTCGTTAAGTGTCTGCCTTCGGTTCAGGTCATGATCCCAGGGTCCTGGGATCGAGCCCCGCATTGGGCTCCCTGCTCGGCGGGAAGCCTGCTTCTCCCTCTCCCACTCCCCCTGCTTGTGTTCCCTCTTTCGCTATCTCTCTCTGTCAAATAAATAAATAAAAGCTTAAAAAAAAAAAAAAAGAAGAATGGAGAAACTATGGTATATTCAAACAATGAAATAGTACAGTCATAAAAAGAAATGAACTACTGATACACATAGCAACATGAATACATCTCAAAAAAAATTATTGAGCAAAAGAAACCAGACACCAAAGAGTTGTGGATGTGATTCCATTCGTATGAA